GGTGGTGCTGCTGCTGCTGATGACGATGGCATTGGCAACAGTCGCCTCTGACCAACAGCAGTGAGTCATATTGCATGTTTGAACGTATTATTATTTTTTGTTGTGATTATCTGAAAGGCTTGCGGGAGCAACATCTTCGATGTCTCAAACCCGCACGTCGTGCCAGCCTCGCAATATCCATGCGATGGTTCCTAATTGCCAGAAGTTTGGCATCGAAGTCGGGCGCTCCCAGCATTACGGCATTGCGCTGGAACTTCTTGGAGATGTTATTGTGCGACAGGAGCGGATCGCGGCGCGCTTCTCGCGCGAGTGGCGAGGCTCGGCCTAGGGTTCAGCGTTGCTCTGGGCGGAGTGCCGCGGCGAAAGGGGTTTCTGGGAACGGCCCGCCCGAGGTCCGCCGAAACCAATTTTCACTTTATGGGTGCGAGGGCGGGGTTGGACGAGGGCCGCAGATTCGATGCAGTTGTAGCACGTTGCTCCCCCCCCTTTCTCTTATCGATCCGCATTTTCTACAGCGTTCCTTCCCTGCCCCGCATCTTCCTCGCGCTCCTCCGCTGAGAGAGAAAAGCAGCAACGTCTAATTCCTATGGGCACTCGCGGGGCCCACTTCGGCCCTGTCGTGGGCCCTGTTGGGTTTGTTTTGGGCGAGTTCTGACATCGCCCCTAGGAAAACAACCTCGCGCAGACGGTTGAGATATATCGTATCAAACTACTTGGCATAGAACGGGCACGCGGCAGTCATTCGACGACTGCTTGACGATGCCCCCCAAAATGATGCAACTGCCAATTCACAAGTATATGGGGTCTCATTCGCAAATGTCTCGATATGGTGCGCGGGTTTTCCGATGGATTCTTTGCTGGCGCGGAAGGTTGTGGGGCTCCCGCGGCTCGTGGGGGGTTGCTTGACCTCGTCGGGCCCTGGGGGCCTCTGTGGGCTCTCGCGAGTCGTTCTTGGGGGCCCCTCTTGCCGGTCTGTGTGCCACCTGGAGGGTTTTGAGAAGGTCCCCTGGATATACGCGCGTGCAGAGTAGGACGCGAGGGCTACTGGGAGGGTCTCCGCGGCAGTTCGAGACGTTGCAGGCGCCCCTGGAACGACCCCGAGGCCACGTCGACGGCGGCCGCAGCGGCGGCGGCGGCTGCGGCGGCGGCGGCGGCAGGCCGGCCGAGCCGGCGGGCCGGCCGAGCCAGCAGGCCGTCGTCGTCGTCGTCGTCGTCGTCGTCGTCGTCGTCGTCGTCGTCGTCGTCGTCCTCGTCGTCGACGTCGTCGTCCTCGTCGTCGTCGTCGTCGTCGTCGTCGTCCTCGTCGTCGTCGTCGTCGTCCTCCTCCTCCTCCTCGTCCTCCCCCTCCTTTTCCCCCCTCCTCCCCCTCCTCCTCCTCCTCCTCCTCCTCCTCCTCCTCCTGCTCCTCCTCCTCCTCCTCGTTTTCCTTCTTCTCCTCCTCCTCCTCCTCCTCCTCCTCATCCTCCCCCTCCTCTTCCTCCTCCGCCTCCTCCCTTTCCTCCTTCTCCTCCTCCTCCCGTCCTCGTTCTCGTGCTCGTCCTCCTCCTCCTCCTCCTCGTCGTCCTCCTCCTCGTCCTCCCTCCTCGTCCTCCTTGTTCTCCTTGTCCTCCTCGTCCTCCTCCTCCTCCTCCTCCTCCCCCTCCTCCTCCTCCTCCTCCTCCTCCTCCTCCTCCTCCTCCTCCATCTCTTCGTCCCCCTCGCCGTGTCTATGCCGAGGGCGTAAGAGGCAGGGGAGGAGGTGAAGCAGCAGCAGCAGCAGCAGTTGCAATGTGGTCAGAAGTCACCACGCGTTTACATGGAGAAGTCGGTTTTGGCGGGCTGGGGACTCACATGTTTGTTCGGTCCCAGATGTTTTCGTGTCCAGCGCCAGCGTGTTCGGGCAGAGCCTTTCCAGAACACGCCACACGCCACCTTCCCCCTCTGCGCCCTGCGCGCGCGTGCTTGCAAAAGGGAGGGCCGCACGTACCATAGCTGCTTTTCCACAGGCCAGGCTGCAGAGCCTGCGAGACCGGCGAAACCTCACACGCACCACTGGCGAACGAGCTATAGTTCTGTGGGCAAATGGATGTGAATGAAATTGTTAATTGTTGTGCAGTCGGCGACTCCTGGGGAAGAGAACGACGAGGGAGGAGGACGAAGAGGGGACGAATAAGAGCACTGCGTAACAAGGAGGGGCGAGGGAGGAGGATGAAGAGGCGCGTGCCGCCGCGCGCGGAGGCTAAAGCGCGAGCACGAGCGGCCCCGCGGCGTCCTGCGGTGGCCCACGGGCCTCCTCGCACGCAACAAGTGGCATCCCAAATCTGCACCTGGGAGCGCCCTGGCTTTCGTCCAAAAACTGCGCCCGGAGTCCTCTGGATTTCATCCAACAACCTCCCCTTGGGCGGGGCGGGATTCATCCAAAAACTTGTCCTTGGAGGCCGCGGCAACATCCGCCAACAACAAATCAAAAAACTTACCCAACAACCCATCCAACAATTTTTCAAAAAAACTCACCCTATTTCTTCACATATTGTTCCGTACAAGAAATACTTGGATGAGTTTTTGGATATTCTTTTCCGGCGACGTTCCCGGGTGGTCCGCGGGCATGGGCCCGCGCGCGCTTCCTCCGGCGGCCTCCTTCGGACCCCCGCTGGCCCCTTCTGTGGCGACCGCGCAGACGCAGAGGACACCGCCAGAGCCACTCACAGGCTGCCCAACGGTAGGCCGCCTACTGCAGTGCGCTGAGGCTTCCTGGGGCCTCCTGAGGCCCCCTGAGGTTTCCTGGAGCCTATGGGGGCCTCCTCGGGTTTCCTGGGGCCTCCTTGGGCCTCCTGGTGCCTCCAGCGGCTTCCTCAGGGCTCCTGAAGCTTCTTTTGAAGAGACCCGGGTAGCAGTGCAGTCCAAAGCGGGCGGAACGTCTGTCGGAGACGCGTTTTTAGGACGCTGCAAAGCATGCCGGGGGAACTATCAAGCTATCGAGAGGGACCTTCGCAGGAGACCCCAAGGAGCTGCGAGGGACCTTGGGTGGTGCCATGCAAAGCCATGCAAAAAGTCACCCCTGCAGTCGCCCCCGACCCTCGCCGTCGGGGGTGACTGCAGGTGTGCCTCACAGAGAATGTAAGCCAGTTTTCTCCTCCGCTCCCAGGCGCGAGCATCGCCGGTCACTGAGGCAGCGCGCGCCGGACCCCCTCGACTCGGTTCCGAACGACGGCGGGGCCTACAGCCGCCATTGCCGCTAGATTCCCGGGCTCCAGGAACGACCGTGCCTCTTCGGCCCAGTCTATGGCTGCGCCGTCGCTGCGCAGCCAACGGCGGGCAAAATGATTCATTCTGTCGCACCAGAATTTGACGATGCTGACGGCCACGTCGTCGATGCATGTCCCCGCGTTCAGAGTGATGGTACGCAGCATCGGAGTGGCCCGGCAGAAATCCGACGGCGGCCCTGCTCGCGCCTGGCCGCGATAGGAATCGTACGCGACCCCGTGATGTTCGAGCGTCCAACGCCCTCCACGCACTGATAAGTAGAAGGGATCACCGAGGTCTCCTGCCACAGCGGCCACATGATCTCGAACGTCCCATAACTCGACGAGCGCATCATCTGGAATGCATTCCCCAGGCTGCACCGCTGAGTCGTCGTCGCCGCTGCCCGACGGGCGCGAACGCTGAGACGGTGGCGGGACGACCAAGACGGAGACGACGGTGGCGGCGGCGGCCACGACGACGGCGACGGCGACCACGACGACGACACCGACGACGGAAAACTGATGTACGACGCAGCATGGGGAAGTGCGTGACCGCCCAAGGACATTCAAACTGAATTGTCCTGAACGGAACAACGGATGCAGTGCGATCAGGGTGTGTTTCGGCGCGCCCGCCGCTGGCCCGAACGGGTGGCTTGGCGGGCCCCCCTCCGCCGTCGCTTCGCGAAGTCCGCCAGACCCAGGCGCGAGCCTGCGGCTCTTATGCGAGCCCCAGGCGCGACGCGTGGCGTCGCCGCGTTTTGCTGCTTGTGGTTCGGCCAGCTTCCGTTTGGCGCCACGCCCTGCCCCGCGCGCGTCGTCCTCGCAAGTCCGCCGCGCGCGTTGGCTCGCAGTCGCCGCGCGCCCGCCGCTGGCCCGAAGGGGCGGGGGCCCCCCCGCCCTCTCCTCGCGAGTCCCGCCGGCCCAGGACCCGCGGGCGCCAGCCAGCCCCGTGCGTCGCGCGCACGTCGCCTCGTTTTGCCGTTTTCGGTTCGGGGATTTCCTCGGCGCAGCGACTCCCCCGCCCGCCTCGCGCGCGCATTTCAGCCCCGCGCGTTCGCGCGCTGCGTCCAGCCGCCCGCCGCTGGCGTGGGCGGGTAGTCTTGCGGTGCGAGTCTGCGCTGTCCGCGGAGTCTCTGGATTCCCGCCGCCTCCGGGCGCCGCGCGAGCGTCGCCGCGGATGGCCGTTTTCGGCTTGGCCGGGGTGGAGAGGGAGGGGAGATTGCGGAGAAGGTCTCTTCGACTTGCGGCTCTCGGTGGTTGCCAAAATCGGCGGCGGCGCCCGCTGGCAACGAGCCCCCGGATTCGATCCAGGATTCGACCCCGCCGTGCCTTGCCGGGCAGGCGGGGGGCGAAGCGGGGAACCCGATTGCGAAGCAGGAAGAGGAGGGCTTCTAGGCGGAGATGGTGGAAGGAGGGGGGCCGCAAGGGGCGGCAGAAGCGGGGGGCGAGCCCGCGGAAACGCGTCGCAGACGATGCGCGGCGGATGTGGATCGCAGCCTTCCACGCGAAGCATTCCCTGTGCAATGGGAAACGGTTTGTCGGCGGCGGCCCGCGCGACCCTGCGAAAGAAGAAGTTGTTGGATGAATCCTCTCTGCACGCGGGTCAGAGATGAGCAACGGTTATGGTGGTGGTGATGGTGAAGATGACGAAGGTAATACTGTCGTGAAGGTGGGGGTTACGGATCTGCTGCACGCAGCTGGTTTCCGGCCCGCCACCGGGTGCTTTCCTCGGTGCGCGGTTGTCCCCTTCAGCGCTCTGTTTCTCAGTGCGCTCGCGAGGACGCTGGCCACCCCGACTTTGCCTGCGGAGCCCCACACGCCGCGGCCTCGTCGATGGCGAACAACTTCTTCTACACCTTCACTGCAGGAGCGGGTGCCCCGCAGTGTACTTGCTTGCTGCGCCTCAGCAGGGTTTTCAGCGAGAGGGGGTAAGTGGCTTCGCCTGCTCCTTTCCCCCCTCTTCTTCCTTCCCCTCCTCCCCTCCTCCTCTCGTCCTTATTATGTACCCCGCTTATGGGGTTTTGAGGGGAGCTCGATGGACCATGCAATGATTTGGGAAAAAGCAAGATATAGGAGTGCTGGGACGGTCACCTATGCACCAGGTGCATGTCGGAACATGTATATCCGAGCTTTATTTGATTATCCAGGCGGACTACTGAAATACGAGTCGATGTGCATGCCCATGCTACAAGTGGATGTGTTTTAGTGGGCGCTCAGCGTTATTCTTACTTCTAGGAGAGACGATGCGATAGGAAGTAGTTGCGTATGTGTTTTCAGCGCTTGCGAGCAAATCAAACACCACAAGCTCTACGAAATCTGCGCAGCGCTACCCTCTTGTATCGCCGTTCCGAAAGTTCCTTGGTGTGTCAGCAGTACGCCTGGTTGCATGCTTCGCCCTGTGGCGTGTCGCTCCGCCGGTTCTGGCCCATCACGCTTCGGCGCATCACGCTGTACATCCATGTCCCCATTCCCAAGCGTCAGCGGCCCCGAGCCTTTCCGAGCCTCCCGCCCCGCGGAGCGGAGCGACACGCTACCCGCTCGCATGTGACAGCGTGTCGCTGGGGTCGCTGTTGCGATATGCTGAGCAAAAGTGCCCCAGTGTACACTTTCCGAGGTCCGCGTGGATCTCTTGGATCGGCCCCCATCCCAGGCGTGTGGAACGTGGCTGGGGCGGCGCAGGGGGTGCCGCCAGGGGGCTCCAGCGCGGATCCAAGGAAGCTGCGCGGACCTCCGGAAGTTTTAAGCTCGTGCCGCTTCCTGTTCCTCCACATGACCATCTCTCGGCGTTGCCCCAACATCGTAATACCATATACTATGTGTGCGTCGCCCCCCAAGGACGACGCGCGCGCCGAGCAATCATCTTCTAGTGTAAGCTCCGCCGTGGGCGCTTTCTGGCCGTACCGCTCGGGAAACGACTTATTGCGAGATGTTTGTACTATATGTTCGGGTCGGACGTACGCCTCCGAGGAGGATGCATAGCACTACTGTCGAACAGACGATCAAGAACCCCCCCCCGAAAAGTTGGACCAGCGTTTCCTCACAAACCTGCTGGAAAGCCGGCCCAGTTTCGTGAACACGCTGGCCCCCTCCAGGGTCAACGGCAGAACGTTGCCCGGGCCTGTTTGAAGAGAACCTCCCTGGGAGCTGGCCCAGATCTCTGAAACGATGATCTCCTTGTTTCTACTGTTGTCGGCTGTGGTCTGTCCTCGTGCGTCCCACTCTCCTCAGGAGGGGACAAAACACACAGACACAATTAAAATAGGGGGAATATCGAAAACCCAGAAGAAATGGGAAAATATTGGGATTCCCGGGACCTGTGCGCTTTTCTTTGCGTGCCCGTGGGCCCCTTCGTCTCGGGCGTGCCCCCGGCGGACACGCGCCCGAGCCCCCCCCCCCCCCCCGGAGCGCCCTCGGGGGGCGATCTTGGGAACCTCTTGGTCCGTCTCGGAGCGTCCGAAAGCCGGAAAGGCGAGAAGGCCAAAAGCCATCACAAACGTGGAGGAACTCGTCGATTGTTGCTTCGTGGGGCCCTCCTGGGAGGCCTCTCGGAGGCCTCTTGGGCCGTCTTGGGGGGTCGGCCCGCAGAGGCCCGCCCCGCCGCGCCCGGGGGCTCGCCCTGGGGGTGCCGCCCTGCCCGCAGGGGGGGGTCCCGCCCGCCGGGGGTCCCGCCAGGGAGTGCCGCTGGGCTTGAGCATCCTCCTCCTCCTCCCTCCCTCCTCCTCCCTCCTGCCTCCCTCCTCCTCCCTCCTCCTCTCCTCCCTCCTCCACCCTCCTCCTCCTTCTCCTCTTCTCCTCCTCTTCCCTCTCCTCCTCCTCCTCCCTCTCCTCCCTCCTCCTCCTCCTCCTCCTCTCCTCCTCTCTCCCTTCTACTCCTCCCTTCTACTCTCCTCCTTTTCCTCCTCCTCCTCCTCCTCCTCCTCCTCCTCCTCCTCCTCCCTTATGCGTCTCCTCTGTTCTGCTCCTCCTCACTTCTGCTCCTCCTTCCTCGTCGTCTTCCTCCTCACTCCTCACTCCCTCCTCCCTCCTCCCTCCCTCGGTCTGCTTTATGTCGCTTGGCCTTTCTGGGCAAGCACCCGAGAGCCGCGGTGATCCCTTCCTGTCATCTTCCCAAGGGCATTGATAGCCGCTCTATTTCCGCCGTCGTCTCGTTCTCGCCGTGCTGGGACGAAGATAAATCTCCCACCCAGGTAGCACGGAGGACCGCTACGATCGGCTGCGCCAAAATTCAGTTCACTTGATTGCCCTGCTGGTACTGTCTGCCTTCTTTGCGTCAACCTGGGTGCCCCAGCAGAGTAGCCATCTCAATCGTATTTTGCGAGTTGCGTGCCAGCCTCTGCTGACAGACTCACTGCTTAGTCACCGTCGAAATCCACAATTCCCTCCTCCCTCATCTCCTCCTCGCCTCGCCGTTACGCGGGTTGGCGCTCTGCCACCGCGAAGATTGCGAGCGATGTCCAAATTAGCTGCAGCTTGACGCCCTCCAGTCGGACGGACCCCCCAGGGATTTGTCCCAGCTGGATCAGCTTCTGCAAACATATTGTGCCGTATGGGTTGCTCCACACGTATCGGACACCACACATGCATTGTAGCATGCAGATCCCCCCCCTACACGTGCTGCACCACGCAGAGTGTGCCGCGTAGATCGCGCGAAGTATGCCACCATATCAAGGAAGTGTGAGGGCTCCACGCTGTCTGCTGTATCCATCAAGCGACACTTCGGAACTATTCAAGGAGGTCTCAGGCGAGAGCAAGGTTTTGAAAAAGCGGCCGCCCTCCATAAGTGAAGGTGTTGGGGATATTGAAAAGTTGAAAGTGCGCCGCTCTAAGGTGCGATACTTCTTTTGAGAGGCACCTGTCCTCAATCCTTCAGCTGTTGCGAATGTCAAGTTTCAGGAACATGCACTGTGAAAACAGGCGGGACGTCCAGATCGCCATGCTGACACGTGCGGTGGTGGAGCGCCGATGAGAGACTGGAGCTATGGATGAGAAGGGGGAGGAGTAAGGCAAGACGGATGAGCAGTATAATGAGGATACGGGCGATGAGTAAGAGGTGTACTAGTCAGGTGCGCGTAACACGGAGGAGTGGCGGCAGGCAACGTCGGAGCAGGACAGGGAGGAGCATGACAGGAGCAGGATACGGAAGCGAAGGTGGGGGAGAAGGAGGAGAAGAGGAATCTGAGGAGGAGGATGAGAATGAGAAGAGGAGAACAAGGACGAGGTGGAGGAGGAGGAGGAGCAACCACATGAGCAAGCAAGCCAGCAACATCCGCGAACACAAAAACACAAACAACATAGGCACGACATAGCACGCTTTTAGCCACCCTTGCAGCACAGGCCATCAAGAATATTACATTGCAAACACACTGGCAGCAGCAAGCGGCCGAACGAGAGAGAGAGAGAGAGAGAAAGCACATGCAAGCTTAAGCACACGCAAGGAACTCAACCAGCCATCAAGCAAACAAGCAAGAGTATCCTCTGAACCATGAGGGTGAACCTGTGAGCCATGATAGCCGTCAGGGAGCCATGCGACTTGTTCGGGCAAATTCTGGGCTGCCCTACCGACCGACCAGACCTGGTGAAGTTCAGCTGGCTCTGCTTTTCCCAACGCCATTACGAATCCCCTGCTGCCCGGAGGCTCTTTGGACCAATGCAAGCTGCTGTGCTCCTCGAAGAAGTACTGTCAGGGCCTGGAGTACCAGGGACCGCCGATTCTGCACTCTCTTTGCGCTTGCATTGTCGCCCAGAACCCTTGCGGGGTGCGGCCGTTGGCTGGATGGGGGCTTCGGCGGGTGAGAAGTGTCAGCTGTGCGTCTAGTCATGCAACTCCGCGTTGGGAGAATGTGGTTCCAGAATTTTCGAGGCCTGGTAGGGCACCACGAAACGATTTCGACACCCTACGATTCGTCTGCTCCGGACGGTTCTCAGGAGTTCTTGAATTGTCCGTGCTCATTTGCTTTGGCATGCGGCGCCGCCCCCCTCCCCATTGTCCTCGCCTCACCCCTCACCCGCCGCTCCGCGCGTGAGTTTCACTTCCTCAATCCCTCGCAAGGGTTGTGAAGTGGGCGTCTGGCTTGCTGTGAGAGGAGGCTTCCCAGCAGATCCTGGCGGGTGGTCTCGGATCTCCCAGGAAGTCTGCTGCGGCCTCGGGAGACGCAGGCAGACGCCAGGCCTATTACGGAAGGCCCTAAGCGGACCGACCCCGCTCTTCTGCTGGTCTCGCCAGCCTCTCTTGGATGGTGGGGAGAGGGGGTCCAGCGCCGATCCGAGGAATTCGGGCGGACCCCACGAATTTGCGAAGGGAAAGCGTGGGCCGCACACAGGCAGGAGCGGAAACTTCGAGGAATCCTCGCGCGGCGCTTTGGCGAGAGCTCCATTCAGCCCGCTCGTGCGCGGGCAGATTTCCGATGTGACCCGCGAAGGCAAAACGTGCGCCGTGCCCAAGCCGGAGCTCCGCGCTCCGGCGAACTCGTCGAGGCGCTCGGAGAGGAACGCGATGCCCCGCCCGCTCGCGCGCGGGTTCTCCGCTTCCGCTTCCGACGGCTGGGCCGATCCAGGCGAGCGAGCAGTGTTCGCGGCGCGACCTGCAGGGAACACCATTTGCACGCGGAATCTGCGCTGCGCTTGGGCGAGAGCGGCATTTCGCTCGCTCGCGCGCGCTCCCGCCGCGGACGACTTGGCAAGCAAGCTGTGTGCGCCGCGCCGAAGCGGTCGATGATGCACAGGGCGTGTGTTAGCCCAGTGTGTGTGTGTGTGTGTGTGTGTGTGTGTGCGTGTGTGTGTGTGTGTGTGTGTGTGTGTGTGTTCATCTGTGCAGCTCCACCGATAGCACACAGCGCGTGCTGGCCCTCATCTCACCGCCCCTCGCCGTGTGTGCTCATCTGTTCAGCTCCACCGATAGCACACAGCGCGTGCTGGCCCTCATTACACCGCCCCTCGCCGTATTGAAGGGCGTCGGTGGACAGTTACACGTTGGCGCTAGCACTTGTTCTGAGGATCATCGAGGCGGGAATGCCACTTTCAGAGGGAATGTGCGCGGTGCTTGAGTGAGAACTGCATTTCCCTCGCTCGCGCGCTACACCGCCCCGAGCGACTTGGCGAACGAAAAATGGGCGCCCCGCCAGGGCGGTAGCGCCGCTTTCAGAAAAGATGTGCGCGGCGCTGAGGCGAGAACGACAATTCCCCCTTACTCGCGCGATATGCATCGTGTCCCAGTCGACGGCATTTTGCAACGTCGACGGCAGAAAGTCCATGTTCAGAAGAGAAGCGTCGACATTGTATTGTTTGATGGCGGGTAGGAAGGACCCGCTCTCGGATTGGGGGCATGTAGTCATAAGGACAAGGAGTAAATGCTGCAGGCTGCAGGCTGAGTGGGGGCATGTAGTCATAATGACAAGGAGTAAAGGATAAGAGTACGAGTAGGAGTAGTGTGATGAGTAGAATGAGGAGGAGGAGGAGGAGGAGGAGGAGGAGGAGGAGGAGGAGGAGGAGGAGGAGCATGAAGAGGAGGAGGAGTTTCAGGCGCAACGCTCTGCCCAGACCAGCAGCTCGGACAACCAGTTGTTTTTGGTTGTCTCTCGATTTTGGGCCTCGGGAAGCTGGCTGTGTGCCTCTAGACTATCAAGACGGGTTCAGGATGAAGAGCTAGGGTCCAGATGTCTGGAGCAGGGCTCGAGCTAAACGATATTGTGAAGGCCCGACGGCTGGTGCCGCCGACCCTGAAAGACATCGACGACGACCAGGAGGGGGAGGAGGAGAAGAAGGAGGAGGAGGCGGAGGCGGAGAGAAGGAGGAGGAGGAGGAGAAGGAGGAGGAAAAGGACTCCCCCCTGGGCCCACCCCCACTGGGGAGGAGGACCGGAGGAGGACCGGTGTGGGAGAGGGGAGGGGAGGGGGAGGAGGGCCCCCAGGGACGGATGCGTATCTGACTCCCCTCCCCCTCCCCTGGGACTCCTCCCCACCTGGGGAGGAGGGCCCGAGGAGGACAGGCGCGCCAGAGAAGGACCGGCGTGGGAGAGGAGGACCCCCAGTGGCGTTGCGAATCTGACCCCCCTCCCCCCCCGGGACCTCCCCCCCTCCCGCCGGGGAATGGACAAAGGGAAGGGGCTCCCCTTTGACGTACTGAGGACGTGGATGGGATTCCCTCAAGCTGCGAACCCGTTCCCCGAACGAAGGAGGGTGCTCTCTCTCTTTCTCCCCCGGCGGGAAGGGAGGATGGGAAGGAGGGGACGAAAGAAGGCTCCCCGTCGACGGGACTGGACAGACACCCCACACATGCCGACAGGGTCGGCGGATTTGGGCAACTTCGTGGGCCGTTTTCGTATTGATTTCGTTTTGTCGCGAAGGTGGAGCGAAGACAGAACGAGGGATAACGTAAACAAAACGAAAACGGAACATTACACCAGAGAAAACCCCAATCAGTGGGTGATTGAAAATTAGTCATATGGATCTTGAGATCGATTGTGAGATCGATAATGAGATCGATAGTGGAATCGATAATTGACGATAGGGAGATCGATCGCGAGATCGCTCATGCGATCTCTAGTGAGATCGCTTGCGAGATCGATTGTGAGATCGATTGTGAGATCGATGGTGAGATCGATAGAGAGGTGGGAAATGAGATCGATGCTAAGACCTATCGATAAGAAGATCGACCAGGAACCCGGGAACCTGGGAACCTCGCCGCCCACCGAAATCGGCCCGGGCACCTGGAACCTGGGAACCCGGAACCGGGAACCCGGGAACCCGGCCTGCCACCCAAACCGGCTTGAAACATTCGCCTTCTCTTTCAATATCCGCTAGGACCCCTTCAGTGCAAGCTTTGATTGGGGAAAATTTGTTAGCTTGAGCCCTGCTCTGGCGAGCATCGCTTCGAGAAAGAGCCACCCGATCTCTAGGCAGGACTCCCCTGGGGAGGCCCTCGGAGGCCGGGGGGGGGGGGGGGACGAGGTCCCCGAGGAGGCGCTCCCCGAGGGTGCGAGTGCGAGCCCAGACACCCCCCGTCTGCAGAGCTTCTCGAGCGCCAACTCGGCCACGCGCAGAGGCGGGTAGGGCAGGTTTGCGTCTTGTCGACCTGCGGCGGCGTCGCCGTCAGCGTTCAACGTTGAACGCTGCTGGCGACCCAGGAAAAATCGATGTTGAACGGTTTCGCCTTTCCGAACTGGCCGATCGTTCAAGCTTGAACGATCCCCAGGATGTCAGGAACCAACCCCTGGGTCAGCACGACACGAACCTGCCGTAGTGGGAGTGGGGATCGGGGGCAACGATAAGGGGGGATAGGCATAGGAGGGCTGCATCGACCCCCAATCGCCCATTGATCGCCGATAGGGGTCTGATGGTCCCGACCCCCGGGGAACGTGCGGATTCACTATCGTGGGCCCATCGCCGATATATCGGCGATGCATCGCCCATTCCAGGTCGATGTTTTCCCCGTGCCAGTCCCCCCCCTTATCGCTGCCCCTCAGGGGAAGGCTTCTTCGAAGCACCCTGCTTCTTAGAAGGCGCGGGCCTTGTCGGCAGATGCAGGGCCGGCGCCTTCCAAGAAGCAGCCTCCCTCTAAGAAGCCTTCCCCTGTTCCCCTACCCCCTGTGCGCGCCGCCTAACCCCTTGTGCGCGCTCTTCGAGCGCCAACGACCCCCCCCACTAACTCGAAAAAGAAAAGTCAGTATAAACATCAACTTCCGACGGTCCGTGCGGATTTCTTGGATCGGCGCTGGGCCCCCTGCCAGCGCCTTTGGCGGCGCCGCCCCCTGCGCGCTCCGCGCGCCAGGAAGGAGGGTCCAGCGCAGATCCAAGAAGTCCGCGCGGACCCTCGGAAGTTACTGTTTATGCCGATCTTTCTTTCTAGTAACGGGGCGGGTGGGCATCAGCAGCACGAACCTGCGACGACGTGGCGTTTCGCACTTCGCCCTCTGCCCCTCCCTGGAGCGCAGAAGTCTAGGGCTCCCAGATGGAGTCGGAGTGGATGGGGTCGAAGGCTCGCTCAGAATCGCCGATGCGGCTCGATGTGGAGACCGATTCTCTTCACGCCGACGGCGCCGATGCATTTCCGACGTCGCCGAAACATCGCCGCTGCATCACCGATGTATCGCAGATGCATCGGCGATTCGGCGCGATCCTCCGACCCCGTGTGCTCGGACCCTGTATAGGAGGCCATAGTTTTGCACTCCTCCCGCCGTCCCTCCCTGAAGCTCAGAAGGCAATGCGGCAGTCGCGCTCGGTCTTTCTCGTTTGCGCGAAGTGCTAAGAGGAACGACTCCAGTCGCCTTGGTCCTCCAATTGCGCTCCCACTGCTACCTTCTAGTCCTTTCGGGCTGCCACAGCGCATGCGATCTGTGCGGTCCAGCGTCGCCCTCTGACTCCTCCGGCCCAGCCCGCGACGGCGTGTGCATGCTTTGGTGGAACACGATCCAGTCCATGGAGCCGAAGCTTGGTCACACGTGCGCCCCCACGCGATCGGGACAAGAGGACTGTCAGGCTTGCACTTCATCTTGCGCGCGTGACTTTGATGGTGCCTCCTTGAGAAGGGGGGGGGGCCGAAGGTGGCAGTTGAGCCATTTTGAGAAGTACTACTGTGGACCCCCCGATGGCAATGGTTGACTTCCACCCGCCACGACCAGAAAACAAATGCACTTGGTGTATCCCAAACCAATACACGTGCAAGAGATGTTGGACACGTGGTAGACATCAACCTGGAAAGCATCTGTTTTTTCGAGTGCATCTCTACCTAGTATGGCCTTGGATGCTATAGTGTTGCATCCGTGCACAATCTGTATATCGCGTTCGTGTGGGCACTTGATGCAAAACAGGCGCTAGAACGTATGTGTGTTGATGGTGTAGCCAAAGCAAACTGAAGCCAGTTGTTTCAATGCCTATACTTTGCAACGTTGTGTGTTGTTCGCGAAGCTGTTACGCGCAACACAAGGGGCAATCAACACACAGTAGGACTTGTACAGACGAGTTTGGGCATCAGCGCCCATCGCCCCCACCTAAGCCCAATCGTATTGCGCACGCAGGGTGTATCCAGCTTCCCGCTTGCTTGTCGCAACATTGTTACCAGCCTGCGCATTTGCCATGTCTGTTGTGAGTCAGGTGGCCATGCGGAAGTGCTGACCTGTGGTACCATATCAGTATGCGGCGCGCGCGTTTGTTTGTGTGTAGGTGTGTGTAATGTGATTGTATGAGAGTGTGAGCGTATGTGCTCTGATGCAGGTTTGCAGTCCGTAAACGGTTGTAACGTGTCATTGTGTGATTGTATCGGGATTCATGATTACCAGGTTGTTGAATCACCATGCCAACCTCAGGTTCAGAGGGGGCGCCAAAGCACCGTAGCTTGAATACCAGGCAGCTTGGTCATACTCTGCTTAGGATGTCTCCGAACACTTGAGTCCACCGTACATATCTAGATACCCCGTTGACTACCATATGCACTTCCACCTTCTCCACGTTCCTACCCTCACGCAGCGGCTCACTGGTGCAATGCTCGACAATACAGCGATGACGACGACGAGAGCGGCCGAAATGGAAGTCTAGGACATGTCTTACGTGTTTTCTAGTTTCGTCCTGGCAGATCTGTCTAACTCAGCTCGGAGACCCTTGTCAACAGTTGGGTGCCGTGAGCCTCGGGCTGCGGCCGAACAGTGTTCCTATCCGTGCTACTCGCATCTGTCAGTGTGCGTGTAACATGTATGCCATCTGTCGGGGTGAAACATCCTTGGACGTTTAGTACATGCTGTGCGTGTATATCGTCGCGAGGGGAGTTGTCCAGTGAGTTTGACGCCGTTTCAGTGGGTGGACTTGGCTATACTGCCTCAGAGCATGACAGTATTAAGAAGCTTTGTTTGTCTCGACAGGGGGCTTATCGGTTTGGTCTGGGTTCCAGTTTGTCTTAGTTGTGGCACTGATATGCGCAATGCTGCGGTGTTGTCTTTCACTTGCGCACATAATGGCGATATGTGTGGCCGAACATGTTCTGTAACGATTTGAGATCCTTCCGTATACACGGTCGCGCGCGGTCTAAGGCCATGACATGATGAGCCCACTGCATGGCCGCATGAGGTCTGAGAGTCGGGTGTTTGCAAACATGACCAGATACCCCCCGGAGCGCGCAACATTATGAGTGATATTGTAGAGGCCTCTTGCCTGTGCCGCCGATCCAGGAAGCTCCGGAACGCTCCGTTGGAAGTCGTCGTTCCTTTTAACAGGTTGTGAGCTTCAACTAGAAGAGGCTGGAGGGATGATGAGGGAGGATGACGAGGAGGAGGAGGAGGAGGAGGAGGAGGAGGAGGAGGAGAAGGAGGGGGGAGGGGGCGGGGGAGGGGGAGGGGGTGGAGGAGGAGGAGGAGGAGGAGGCGTAGGTCCGTAGCCATTTTGGCTCAAGCCATTTTGGCTCAAGGCGTATCGGCTGAGGGCCGCCCCTGGGGATTGGGGGGCAGCCTTTCCCGAAGTGGCCTCACGCGTGGCCCTCGGCCCGCGCGCGCCATAGCCCGCGGACCCCCGCGGCAGCGCTGCCTGCAGGCGGCGCAGCGCACCCGCGGCCCAGCCGCGGCCACTGCGGCATCGCCGCGGTCACGCCGCCATTCGAGAGGCGGCACTGGCGGCGTTCTCGGTCAAGAGAGCCCGCCTGGCACCGACGTGAAAGGAGAGCCCGCGGTCGCGCTCGTGAGGGCGGTCAGCGCTCGTGAGCTGCTCCAACGTCACCACAGCGCCCAACAACCACGGCGCCGGTCCTACTGTGCAGAAGACATGGCTGGTACCTGGCAGTGTGCGTGTGGGCGACATGTATCAGAGCGGCATTGGACGTGCCGAAGCTGCAATGGCCACTACAACCAAAGGAGACGACGCCCTGCATCGCGGGGGCGACCGCCACAGCAGCAAGCAGCAAGTGCTTCCACCCCGAGGTGGGCTACCCAGCCCGAACCCCATGGCGAAGAAGCTCATTGCCAAGACACTACCTCTCCCGAAGAGCGAGGCAGAAGCGCACAAGGTCTACGAGGTTTACGGCAAGCCTCCCACAGACCCAGCCGCGCAACGCCAGTACAAAGACGAGATCAAGATCCGCACATACGATGTTGCCAACCTCATCTGTGCGGCCAGGCGGGCCAACAAGCCCCGCGACCAGGAGCTAATAGAAGTTGCAGCACTCAAGTTCCTGATGGGACTCACCGAGAAGCGCAAGGACCAGATCCAGGCCCTCAAGGACAAGAAGACTACGTACAAGGAGAAACTTGCCAAGATTCGGGAAAGCATCAAAGAGTTCAAGCAGCAAGAAAAGCTGGTAGAGACGGAGATCGCCAAGACCGACGTCAGCATAGCCGAACTGGAGGATGCCCCAGACTCCGAGGACGAAGAGCCCGACGACGTGGCCCAGGACCATCAGGCAGCGGACGGCCCAGCTTCGCACAATGTGGCACCACCGCCACCCCCACCAGCAGCGCCTGGCAATCAAATGGCTCAGATACAAGCACAGCTCGCCATGCAGCAAAGCGTAATCAGCCAGCTGCTGGGGTTAGTGCAGCCAGCCGCGGGGGCATGCATACAGGGCGTCCCTGGAATCCCCCCGCCCGTCACGGGCGCGGTCCTGCCACCGCCTCCGGCACATCTGATCCAGCAGATGCAGACTATCACGCAGGGCACTTTCCCTCCCCAGCAAGTTTTCAGCCAGCCTCAGCAGACCCAGCAAGTGCACCAGGGCACGCCGGCGAGGTCCAAGTCGGCCATGGGCCAAGCTTACATGGCGGCGAAAGGGTATACCCCAGAGGGCGCGATAGCCCCCATGGCAGTATATCAGAAGGGAGCAGCGCCTACAACCGCGAACCTTGCAGCGCCGCCCCCAGCCCAGGGGCCAGCGCACCCGCCAGCCCCACTCTCTGGAGGGCCAGGCCCCCACCAAGCCCAGCACGAGCTGACCCGCGCCATTGCGGCAGCAGAGGCCGCTGGGATGGACCATCCGACTCCAGAGACGGGGGGCTACAAGGACCCAGCGACGATCAGGGAGCTGCGCGCCCAACTGGAGGCAGCAAGGAGAACGGGGCTGAGCCAGGCGGCGGTCACCATGCAGTCGTCTCAGCCCCAGCAGGTCGCACCGACCCCGCCAGCAGACTCGCAACCAACCATGAGCTCACAGCTGCAGGGGTTGGACAGAGTGGCGCAGGCCGCCCCGGACGCTTTCTTCCAGAAGCAGCGCGAACTCCAGGAGCAGGCGGAAGCAGCCAGAATACCATGCCCAACCTCTCCGCCCAGAGCTCCCCAGCACCGCAGCTCGCCTACCGAGCACTCCGTGCCAACAGCAGTGCCGAGTCCCAGCTCGCCACCAGGGCAGGCAGCCCAAGGGCAGCCACCAGCGGTGCCATCTCCCACGGAGGTCGAGGTTCCCAGTCAGATGCCTTCACCGTCGGAGCCTACGCTGGTACGCAGCCCAGTCTTTGCCACAGCAGCGGGGTGCTCACCTACGGCGCCATTCCTCCCGGAAGTCTACGCGCCAGGTTTCCACTCCGCTCCGACTCAGCTAGCATCGCAGACTCAACCAGAGACCCAGGTGGCAGCACAGGTGCCTCCAGCACCAACAACGCCCGAGCGCCACCAGACAGCGGGTCTCAGCCCCACATCGCCAGCCGACCCAGCGTACGGCCAGAACGCGCACGACTGGGGCCCGCTGGGGCAGCCACCAAGGAAGTCGGCGTGCGCACCAGGCACCATGAAGGACGACATCTGAACTTCCGCTCATCGGTCTCGTGGGGGAGCACCTTCTTCTGTTCGTGCGCCCAGCCGGCACGCGACGATGCAGAAGGAGATCAACATCTACCCCATCATCTGAATGAGCAGAGTGAGCCACCCGCCGCGAATTTTGAGGGATTCAAGGGACAAGAAGAGTCCCCCTCGCGCTTGACTGGCCCACTGGAGCTCTCTACCCCGCATCGTTTTGGCGCCCCGTGGGACCCAGGGGACCAGGGTGGAGCCAACAATGCAACCGTCAGCCTGCCAGAGGCTGACTTCTTTGTTCATGCCGACCCTAACACTGATGGGGAGGCCAATGCCAATTCGATAGTTAATTTCGCGGCTGCGGGGAAAAGCACCCACGGCATTCAGGGGCCCCCCCACCGCATGTTCAGATGAATTTCCAGGAGTATTTTGATTTGGGTTCTGGCGCGATGCCGCTGGAACCACAAGACCTGAGGCGGCGTCTGCGGGGGAAGCAGGCACCTCCGCAGATTTACAGGGAGCCCCACAGGGCCCAGAATTATGACGGGGAGACTGCCATTGCACGTATCCTCCCGATCCCCCCCCCTTCCCGACCCACTTGGGGCTGGCCCCATCGTTGCCGCGCAGCTGGACGAGGCCCGAAAGAACCGCGTCGCTGCCGCTCCGCACCCTGTTGCTTAGAGAAGTTGCCTGTTGGACTCTCGGCTCGATGTCAGAGGGACCCTGGATTCTTATCCTATGGCGCTCAAGCATTGGCCTACGGATCGCTTTGACGACACTATTCTGCATCCGCATACTAGGTACGCCTTAGCAAACACTAGCCCTGCCGATGCCCGCGAGCCCGAGAGGGCCTGGACATATGTAGACGGATATATCGACCCCAAATCGCCCGAGAATGGTGTATGGGTCCTTACTGTATTGCATCAGATCGGCGATCGCTTAGATTCTACAGCGTTTCATCCGGATCCTTCCAGATGGACAAGTACTAGCATCGAAGTACACGGAGCCATATGGGCACTGTTATGGAGTCTCCAAGACCAGAGCAGCGCCCCAGTCTGCGTCATCTCGGACAATCTTGCGGTTCGGAGTCATAGGTGCAGAGAGGCCTGGCGGCCCATGATGCCCCCCAAGACCCCCGAGCAGCTAGCTGAGGGTAAGGAAGCCATAGTCGAAGCCAGCAAAGCTAACCGCAAAGCGGGGAGACCTGAACAGTTTGCTGAAAAACCGGCCTTTCGGGTCCCTGTGGTCTCGATTTGCCCTCCTGCCCTGGCCCCGGGGGAAAAACGTGCTTGGAAACCTTTCCCCGTGGCTCGAGTTGATGCTGAGGACAGAGCCCTTGCGGGCCAGGTTCCCAGGCCAGTAGGCCAGCCTACCATGCACCTCCTATTTTTCCTCGCTGGGGCCCGACGCGATTTCGACATCCTACACGAGTTTGAGAGGGGTGCCGAGTCCTCTCCTGTCTCTGCGTGGGTGATCAGCCTTGACGTTGCTAACGACCCCAGCTGCGGCGAGGTTTCGAGACATGAGACGATCCGTTCTTGGTATCGCGGCATGGCGGAAGGCAAGGTCGCTGGACTCTGGGATGCCCCTCCGTGCGGGACGTGGTCCCAGGCCTGCCTCCGCGGCACTGCCGTGTGTAGGGGTCCCCCGCCGTGGCCTCTCCGCTCCCCTGGCAAGCCGTGGGGCCTTGGCGACCTCTCCCCCAAGGTTGCCAGGCAGGTTGAGGCGGGGTACTTCCTGCTCCGCTCGGCGGTTTTCTTCCTCTTCGTCGCCCTCCGCCTCGAAATCCCGGCTGTGATGGAGCACGCTGCTCCTCCCTCCCTTTGGGGGGCCCCTTCGGGGTGGATGTTCGACGTGCTGGAGGTTCTCCTCGGACGGCCCGAGGTTGAGGGGGTCCTCACCGACCTATGCCTTTTCGGGGCGCCGTCGATGAAGCCTACTTTCTTTCTTTCGGTTCACCTTCTGTCTCTTGGCATGGGTGCACGGGCTGCTCGGGGGGGCGGGAGGTGCTTCCACGGCCCCCGAGGCCATGTGACCCTTGCGGGCTTTGAGGGCTATTGGCAGTGGCGCACCTCTAGGGCTAAGGCGCACCCCCAGGGCAAGTGCCGTCTTGCTGCCTCTGTTTTCCTTCAGACTTTCCAGGGGAGTTGGCCTGTGGTCTCGGGTGCCCCTTCGGTGGAGGTCGAGCCAGACCTCTTGGCCTTCTGGGGGCCCCTCGTTCCCTTCGTCGCGCGAGCCATGGCTAATGACTTTGCTCGCGAACTTTCTGGCCCAGAGCCCTAGCGGGCCCGAGGCAACATGGTGCGAGGCCTCGTCCCGCCCTGCCCCACTTGGGTGCCGGGACCCCGTCCCTGCCCTGGCAGGCTCCTGGGGCATGCTCCGCGTGCTCTCATTCGCTGTCCCTGCCCTTGTCCTTTCTCGTGTTCCTTTTCCTGGCGGGTGGCGCTTCGTGCACATCATCCTGACTCCAAGTCCAAAAGGAGGCGTAGGAGGAGGAGGAGGAGGAGGAGGAGGAGGAGGAGGAGGAGGAGGAGGAGGAGGAGGAGGAGCAGGGGAGGAGAGGAGAGGAGGAGGAGGAGGAGGAGGAGGAGGAGGAGGAGGAGGGGGAGGAGAAGGAGGAGGAGGAGGAGGAGGAGGAGGAGGAGGAGGAGGAGGAGGAGGAGGAGCGGGGGGAGCGGGAGGGGCAGGAGGAGGAGGAGGAGAAGGAGGGGGGAGGGCGTTGGTAATTACCTTCGGCAGAGTAATGTCTTGAATGGAATGATGATTGCGTCGCGTCAGTCTGTCGAGCTTCATGGCGGGCTGCACTTGGCTCGTTGGTGGGTCGTTGGGCTTGTGAGCCCCAGCCCTGGTCCTGGCTCTGGCCCGGGCCCAGGCTCTGGCCCGGACCCCAGCCCTGGCCCTGCCCTGGCCCGGGCCCCCCGGCCCTCCGGCCCCCCGGCTCCCAGGCCCTTGCCCCCTGGCCAGGGCCCAGGCCCCCCCCCCAGCCTCCAGAGCGAAACCAGGGACCCCCACCCGAAAGCGCGACGCGGCCCTCACCCTCCCCCCTTCCAGAGCGAGGCTTGCAGTAAGCGATTTCCCTTCTCCAGGACCCCCGCCCCCCTTCAGGGATTCCTCCTCGAAACCAAGACAGGTCCCCCTCCCCCCCCCCCATTCCAGAGCGAAACCGGAGACCCCCCCCCCGAAAGCGGGACACGCCCCCCCGCCCCCCCTTCCAGAGCGAAACCGGGACCCACTCTCTAAAAGCGGGGCACGCCCCTCACCCCCCCTACCAGAGCGAAACTAGGGACCCCCCTTCCCGAAAGCGAGGCACGCCCCCGCCCCCCTTCCAGAGCGAAATTTGAGCGAGCTCAAGCCCACGCTCCTTTAACTTACACGTCGTATCGGCGGATTGTCGAGCGGGGGGGGGCAAGCCGACAGCCAGGGCGGTCCAAGGTGCATCCTCGCACGCGGCGGCAACACCAGCGGCTTCGTCTTGGCCGTGGATGGCCTCTTCGAGGCAGTCCTAGCGTGGGAGCTGAAAATAGGAGCAAGAAGCAAGATGACGAGGAAAAGGGAAGGAGGGTGAATGTGAAGGATGAAGAGGATACGCGGGTGGATTGAGGCGAAAGAGGAGGATGGCGGTTGTGATGAGGAGAGGGCAGAGGATTGAGAGGATGTGGAGGCGGGTGAGTCGGGGGAGTACGCGAATGCATATCTGATGCGTATGACAGCCGTGCCCACGACATGTTTCTCATACCTTGGCTTGCGCTGAGAGTTTCGGTGATTGCAGCCGTGTCAGATGCGGGAAAAGCTGCCCATGGTTTGCGTGCCGTCCTTCGCTTTGTGGCGCCAGTGCTGGAGTCAGACCGTACCAACCACTCCCATTGTGACTACGTGGGAGGTTTGTTCACAGCGTGCCAGCACATCGGATGGGGGTGACGAGAAGGAGGAGTTCGATTTGATTAGGCGGTGGAGAAGTAAGAGGATGATAAGGACGAGTTCAATGAGGGTCGCTGAGCCACAAAGGCCGCTTCTACCAGTACCACGACCTCGACCAGCTCGAACCCGACGTGATTATATGGGGAGGCTCAGAGTGCGTTTCTATGTACGTATGCCAGCTGGTTTCCAAAGGGCATGTTGGTTCTCGTCCTCCGCTTGCCTACTGCGCACCAAGCTGGTGCTCGTGTCCGTTGCGTGCCAAGCGTGTTCGTTCGCGCACCACAGAAGCATTCCTCAGGTTATGCGCGTTCACTCTCTGTGTGAACATACTTGTTTGGTCAAGCTGGGCTTCCATCTTTTGTAGTGAGAGTGCATGCGCTTTAAATCTCGCAGTGGGGACGGCACAAATGCAGTCGCAACTTTCCTCTCGCAAGGGATTCAGGACATCTGGAAGAGTGCTTCTGCGGGGCTTAGTGTGCGACTTCTTGGGTAGCCGTTGGGGGGTATTCATCCGGATTTTTTGTCGACGCGTCTTCCTATTAGTCTTCCTACTCTTACAGGTTCGAGGTGCATACTGCGATGGTGCGGCTGCGAACTGTGCCGGCGCCAGCGAGCACACAGCAGGCATTGCGGTACGGATCGCTGCATGAGCGTTTCCCCCAAGGCTGGCCGGCTCATGTGGCGTTCCCGCCTTGCTCGGTAGTCCTACGTGTTCACGCTGTGGCACCTGACGCCTTTATCCGAGGCGGGAATTTATACATGACCACCGCCTGGAGGATCAATTCCGGGGATCTCGGCAGGCGGTGGACATGGACATATTCGGACCCCCGGGGGCCAAAATGTATCCATATCCGCCGCCCGCTGGGGCACTAGGACGTCGGTTCCCAGGCGGTGTATGTGGACAAATCCCCGCCTCGCACTCTCGCCATGGAGGGAGAGGTGTCCTGAAGGTGTTGCGTCGTCTTCGGGCTCCCGGGGCCCTCCCCGTGGGCTCTCGGGGCCCTCACCGTGCCTCAGGACCCCAGGACCGCCAACACATCGACTCGGGATGAGGAGCTTGCTCTGGGAACGCCACCTGGGCCCAGGGCCCGTTTCTGCGAGGGCCCGTTTCCTTCATGCCGAGCGTCGTGAGGCCGTGGGGTTTGGGGAGAGACCGCATCCTCGGTGCTCACATGCCCATCGGAAACCGAGCGGCGAGGAGGGAGGAGAGAGTTGAGAAAGAGAGAGAGAGAGAGAGCAAAAAGTGAGTGAGGGAGCGAGTGTCCGCCACAAAGAAACGACACAGCCCCCCTCCAGTGGATTGTTCCGGGGCCTCGGGGGAGGGAGGCGATGTGCAAATGACCACTGAGAGCCAGCGATTTTATGCACCGCCATTCCTCCTGGAGGAACATGCGGAGTTCGTCGCAGGGTGTCGCTGTGTATATAGTTTCGTGGCGGTGAGGGGAAGGAGGAGACGTGGCGGGAGAGGGCAGGCAAGGGGGACCGTAGGAGGGAGGGCAGAGACGGTACCGCCCCAGATCACCGCGTCTCCCGAGAGTGCACAGAGGCCCTTGGAGGGCCCACGGAGACGTCCGAAGGCCCCCAGGTGTCCCGAAGGAGACAGAAGCGCACAGCAATCGTCATAGAACAAGCACTCCCCCTTGAGCCTTGAGGGCGGAGGGCAAACCTGGGCAAGCAGAGGGATGGGTTCGAGGCTGGACGTCACGCACGTAGTCACCGCCCCGGGAATCGATGTCCAAGGACCCCAGGAGGCGGTGGAACTCGATACCCTCGGGTCCCGACGAGGGGAGGTGCCCAGGAGCCGGGCATGAGGACGCTGGACGGAGGAGGAGGAGGGAGGCGGAGGCGGAGGCAGAGCAGGACGAGGATGCGGATGATGAGGATGATGAGGATGATGATGATGGTGATGATGAGGATGCTGATGAGGATAAGGATGATGCTGAGACGATGGGGATGGAGATGATGCTGATGCTGACGATGAGGAGGAGGATGAGGATGAGGATGACGATGATGCTGATGATGATGATGATGATGGAGATGCTGATGCTGATGATGCCGACGCTGATGATGATGATGATGATGCTGAGGATGATAACGATTCTGATGATGATGATGTTGATGGTGATGATGAGGATGTGGATGATGATCTAGATGCTGATGATGATGATGACGATGATGATGATAATGATGATGATGATGATGATGATGATCATGATCATGATCATGATGATGCTGATGCTGATGGTGAGGGTGATGATGGTGGTGATGATGGTGATGTTGATGAGGATGAGGATGAGGATGACGATGGCGATGGCGATGAGGATGATGACGATGATGATGATGATGATGATGATGACGATGTTGATGATGATGATGATGATGATGATGATGAACATGATGATGCTGATGATGATGATGATGATGCTGATGATGATAATGGTGATGTCAATGATGATGATGCTGCTGATGATGATGGTGATGATGGTGGTGACGATGATGAGAATGAGGATGAGGACTAGGATGGTGAGGATGAGGATGAGGATAATGATGAGGTTGATGATGATGACGATGGCGATGGCACTGATGATGATGCTCATGGTGATGATGATGATGATGGTGATGACGGTGATGATGATGATGATGATGATGCGAATGCTGCTGATGATGATGATGATGATGATGATGATGATGATGATGATGATGCGGAAACTGATGATGATTTAGATGACGAGGATGCGGATGCTGACGACGCTGATGATGATGATGTTGAAGTGGAGGAGGAGGATGAGGATGAGGAGTGGGGTTTGGATAACGATGAGGATGAGGATGAGGATGACGGTGATGATGACGATGATGATGACGAGGATGCTGATGAGGATGATAATAATAATGATGATGAGGATTTTGATGATGATGACGGCGAACTTGATGATGATAATGAGGATTAGGATGATGATTATGATGCTGCTGATGATGAGGATGATGAGGATGATGACGATGCTGATGATTATGATGATTCTGATGATGATGATGATGATGATGATGATGAGGATGGTGATGAGGCTGATGACGACGACGATGACGAGGGGATGCGGATGAAGATGAGGATGATGATTATGCTGATCATGATGAGGATGCTGATGACGATGATGATGAGAATGGTGATGACGATGATGATGCTGATGATGATGTCTATCACGACGACGATGATGAGGATAATGCTGATGATGATGCTGCTGCTAATGATGATGAGGGTAAGGATGACGATGACGATGACGATGATGGTGATGACGCAGATTATGATGATGATGCTGATGCTGATGATGTTGAGGATGGAGATGATGAGGATGAGTCTGCAGATGATGATGACGATGATGCTGATGCTGATGCTGATGATGATGATGATGGTGGTGGTGGTGGTGATGATGCTGATGATGATGGTGATAATGGTGATGATGGTGATGATGATGAGAATGATGATAGTGACGATTATGATGTTGATGCCGACTATGACGATGCTGATGATGATGCTGATGGTAATGGTGATAATGGTGATGATGCTGAGGCGATGGGGATGGAGATGATGCTGATGCTGGCGATGATGGTGACGATGCTAATGAGGATGATAATGAGGATGATGAAGCAGATGATGATGGTTATGCTGATAATGATGATGATAATGCTGCCGCTGCTGATGATGATGATGATTATGATGCTGATGCTGACGATGATGATGACGATGCTGCTGATGATGACGACGATGATGATGATACTCATGATGATGAGGATGCTGATTACGATGAGGATGATAACGATGATGCTGATGAGGATTCTGGTGATGCTGATGAGGATGATAACGATGATGATGCTGCTGCTGATGATGATGATTATGCTGCTGCTGATGATGATGCTGCTGCTGCTGCTGCTGATGATGATGATGATGATGATGATGATCAGCAGGAGGAGGAGGAGGAGGAGGAGGAGGAGGAGGCGGGGAGGAGGAGGAGGAGAGAGGAGGAGGAGGAGGAGGAGGAGGAGAGAGGAGGAGGGAGGAGGAGAGGAGGAGAAGGACGGATAATGACAAGGAGTACGGAGGACGGAGGAAGGAGGACGGAGGAAGGAGGACGGAGGACGGAGGAAGGAAGAGGAGGCGGAGGAGGAGGGAGGGAGGAAGGAGGAGGAGGGGGAGGAGGAGGAGGAGGAGGAGGAGGAGGAGGAGGAGGAGGAGGAGGAGGTGGAGGAGGAGGAGGAGGAGGAGGACGTTTTTTTCCCACGCGCACAGAACAAGCGAGTGACTCGCGATTGCCTGCGCAAAAACCAAATCAAAGGGCCCCATCACTGCTGCTAGCAGCGCCAGGGGAAGGCCCTGGCTCCGCTGGGCAGGCAGCCGCCAGGGAAGACTGCGCTGGAATGCCGATCGCCCAGAAAAATGCAAGCTCCTCGTACCGTGATAACGCGACCAACTCTCCAGGCAACCGCGTGTTCTTATAAGGGTACTTGCCATCCAATAATCTGTTCCGTCTGTTCCTGGCATTGTGATCCCGGGGGTCCTTGGGACACGCCGTGAGGAGACCACATGCACGAGCGCTCAAAAAGGAGCCACATGCCCGGTAGAACGTGTAGTGGGCGATTCTAGACAACTTATGCCGATGGGGCCCCTCCAAAAGGAGCCTGCTCGACGCGAGAAGCCTCCTTCCAGCGCCCGTGGGAAGAAATCCACCACGGCAAAACTTACGCGAGAGCACAGCCTTGGCCTTGTCGCTATGCGCTCGCTTGGCACACTTGAGGCACCGCCAAGACCCCTGGGCCCACTCCAAAACATGCCGGCTCTCCAAAGGGGGGGCGGGGCACGCCGAGGACGAGGGCCAGGGGACAGGGCGGCATTCTTGGAGCGGCCCGTGGTGTCGTCGAAAGTACCTGTGGCAGCGGTCATTGAGCCTACCAGCCCGAGCGTAGCACAGACCTCAGAGGACCTCGTAGCCCAGGTATGCGTGAGATGCTGAGGAACCGGGCACAAGCGGGCTCCCTCTTTCGCCTGGAGGTCAGCCGCCTGGTTGCCCAAGTAATCGCACCGCTCGAGTCCCTCGAGCAGCTCAGCATCGGACTTTTTGGAATACGCCTTGACTTTGACCACCTCCAGGTCCCCATCCCCCGAGTAGGAGTCTTCGATCGCATTCCAAGTCATGTGCCAGAGGTCGGCGTGGGGCCGGCGTGCCTGGTGGCACCAGGCTGCGCCGAGGCGATACCCGCGAACCACCGTGGCATTGTCAGCACCCACTCTCAATGGGGCCGAGCCGTGGCGCAGGACCTGCAGGAATCCCGTGAGCTCCGCTCGCAGGACTTTCTGCGCCTGCCTAACCCCAGGAACCGTGCCATGCATGGCCTTGCTTACATTGCCATGCTCGTCCAGGAAGCAGAACCCCCAACCGAACGCCTTGAGCCCAGGGACCCCGACCCCCGAACCGTCCGAGTACGCAAGCCAAGACAGGAGCGGGTCATCCCCGAACTCGGGATCGAGGGCTTCTGCCGCGGGCGTGACGTCCCGAAATCGGTCGCCCAACGGGTGCGCCGTGAGGGCCCGGGAGAAGAGGAAGGAGGTAGGAGGGGACGTTTCAGCGCAATGGACGATGTCTGGGAACTCATCGCCGGCAGCCTTGTGCTGCTCGCTGAACGCAGGGCACTTGCAAAATCTGTGGTGCTGGTTTTCTACCTCGTGCCCGCAACGCTGGCAAGTGCGGTTATCGGAGCGCCCTGCTCGCTAAACCTTGTCCTGGGTCCAGAAATCTCCTCCCAAGAAGGCCATCATGGCCGCCTGCCGCTGACCTCGCCCATTTTTCTCGGATCGAAGTGCGGCCTGGCAGGGCTCGAGAAATGGCTTGCGAAACGGCATGCCACGCTGGGAAGCCCAATGCGTGAGCTTCTGATCCTCCAGGCGGAGGAATATAAACTTGCGTCAAGTGCTGGGTGTGACTCGTCTCATATCAACGAGCTCACCGGTGTGCAGGGATATGGTATGCCAGCTGGGCCACGTCCACCCCAGACACTCAAGGGTTAAATAGCAGGCTGAGGCTGGCCCCCGCACCTGGGCCCATGGACGATCACGAGCCCTGCTTCGCATAGCGGCAAGTCGGCCCATGGCCCGTCGCCACGCATGGGACATGTCTTCATCATGGCTGCCTTGCCAGACCTGCGAGGCTCACATTGTTATAGGCTTCTGCGAGGCCTCGACTGCTGGATCCGCCTGGTGGGTCCAGAGACGCAGCACACGGTCCCTACCAATTGAATTGCCGCCGAGGCTGCCCGAGACCATGACCCGCATGCGTTCTAGGGAAACTTGAGAGACACCTAAACAGCTAGACCCGTAGGTCACGGACGGGATCAGTTCTTGTCTCACCACTCGGCAAGGCGGGCCCCTTGCTTGGAGAGGGCTTTTGATTTTCGGCGGCGCTTCTGGGCATATCGTAAACGCTGCTGCATTTTGGCTCGAATCCTCACGTGCGCGCCTCCAGCGCTGTCTACCCCCAGCTGGGTACTGGTAGTATTCACCGCAAGACCCAAGCTCTTGGCCCATCCGGCACAACGTTGTCTAGCCGAAATCTGCGTGGCGAGGACGTAGCCTTTGCCGCGATCCCAAGGGCGGGTCACCCGAGAGACAGGGATGCCCTAGGTGCCCTCGACCTGCTGGATGTAAAAAGTGACGGCAGCACGGAGGATGGCGAGACAAGCGAGCGTGCCATGCACTTGTATGCTGAGGTCGTCAACAAAGAGCTTCATCTGCATGCGAGCACCCCAAATCCTGTGCATAGCATCGGTGACCTGAAGCACGACCATCTTCAAAGCGCGCGTGCCACCGATCGAGCCGGCTACGACCGCTGAAAAAGTTCGCACCGCGTGCCGAGAGAGGACGCCCCGAAGCGCAACAAGCCTAGTCGATGTGTGTATATATATATATATATATATATGTACATTCTGATCATTAACTTGGCTAACTGGGCAGAACATCGCATAGCGGGGCGACCGCCCACAGCACCGCCATGGTGACGTGTTCGAAAGCCCGAGGCAGGTCCAGGACCTCCGTCGCCGACACCTCACCCTCCCGAGTCCCTTCACCGTGCACCATTTGGTGTCAGGCAGCGTCCTCGGAGCCCCCTCCAGGGCCCCCGAAATCATAGCCTCGCTTGGCACTGCGCTCCCAATCATGGAGAAGGCCCGAGTGAGCACGCTCCACGACTCGCATGAGGGATGGGAGGAGGCCTATCGGACGGATGCCCACAAGAGGAAATATATCATATACCTCACCTGCTCTGGCCACTGGGCCGTGCGAGAAATGAACATGACGAGCTGGATGAGGCAATCCTTGCCTTCATCCGAGAGCCAGGCCCACCATCGGGGGTGCCAGTGGTCCGCACCTACACCGGTGCGCTCAGGGAAGCTCAGACAGATTTTGGTGAACTGATCGCGGTCCAAACGGACCAACGGGTGCTCAAAACATGTATTTTCCCAGGGGCGATCCCTAGGGCCCAAGCTGTCGGGGCCGTGGGATTTCCAGAGCTAGATCCATTCCATGGCAGCTTCGTCCGCCGCTGTCTGAGGATCAGCAAGGTCGAGGTTCGAGGAGGAGTAGCCCGTCACAGGAGGAGGGGGGGAGCGCCACTTGCTGACCCTATGGATGAAAGAGCTTCCCGCAGCGGACTCTTTTTTCAGCCGCTGGCGCCACTCCTTGAGACGTTCCGAACTCTGCTGACGTTCAATAGCCTGAGCGGCGGCGACAGCATGGCGCTGCAAGCCCATGATCTCGGGGGCCTGCTCCCAAAGGGCCTCGCCCTCCAATCCCAAAGTCCGGAAACGATCAAATTGCGAGCAAGCAAAATCGGCCTGCTTTCCTAAATCGTGGCAAAGCCTAACCTATCCTGCCTCGATGCGACGTTCGAGCTTGGTGCGACGAGGAAGGGTGGTATTCCATGAACCTTCCGTCCTAGCGGCCTGGGCGAGGAAAATGAAGTCGCCAGCTCTGGCGGCGACGCAGCGCCAAGCTCGGGAGCTACGGGTTCCCCTTGGCCTCGCATGGGCTTGGGGGCCCGCAAGAGGAGCCCACGTCCACCGAGGAGCACCCCCACGTCCTAGGAAGGGTTGAGGGTCTCCGAGGCCCAGGAATTGCCCACCAGCTCAGATTCAGCACACTCGCAAATCTTGCTCCACATGCTAGCGAGCGCTTCCTCGTCGAGCACATCCTGGTGATCCAGGGCTGGTCAGCTCGCGGGGGAGGGAGATGGGCCAACGGGCCTGTGCATGGAAAACGAGCGCGGCTTAGCGAGCCTCCAGCCCCCTTTAGCTCGCATCCTGGAGTGCATAGTGAGACGCACGGGGGAATGAGGGGAGGCGCTGGTGTCCAGGACCTCGACCTCCGCGCCGAAGGCGTGCTGGATACGGGCGTCCAGGACGAAGAAATCGATGATACGGCCGCCTCCCTCTCCAGAACATGTGGTGCCCGTCGGCACCCGAAGGACGCCCTGTACATCCTCACACCAGCCGGTCTTGAGCAAGGACTCGCCGGTGTTATTGAAGTCCGCTTGCAAAATCCATGGGAGATCGTTCTGCTTGATCACGGCGGCGAGGGAATCCAAGATGGACAAGTTGCGGATCGTCCAACCCTCTCGAGTCCAAAAATATGCAGTGAGGAGCATCAGGCCGCCCTTCTGCCCAGCTGAGCACCATCCCGCAGCGACACGCCCAGGGGAGCCCGGCGGTGAGATGTCGTAGCTGTCCATGCTGTCGAGATGGGTCAGGCCGACGTTCCGAGGGACCATGACGCCAACCCCAGACGAGGCTCCTCCTCCTGGCCCCGTGATCGCAGGGACCAGCGCCGCCGTGTAGTGCCTGTCGAAGCTGGCTGCTTCGACCTCACCGACTATGGGCGTGCGCAGCTTATGCTCCTGGAGGAAGATGACGTGCATGGAGCCGAGCATCTCCCGCTGGGCCATCTCGTCGAGCACGTCGACACCCTGGGCCCAGGCCGAACAATTCAACCCGATGAACTCAAGACCAGGGTTCCGCGTACCTCCCTTGCCATGCTCACGTGGAGGCTTGGCAGCTGGAGCCGCACTTCCGCTTCGACCCTCGCGGGGAGCGGAGACCGACGCTCCTTTCGAGAAGCCCGGGGCTTCGCCGGCGGCCTCCCCAGCACCCGCAGGCGAAGGCCCCGGCGGGGTCGCTGCGGCCCCCTCCCCAGCGGCCCCGAGGGAGGGCCCGAGCAGGCTAGGAGGGCACTGGCTTCCTCTCGGCCTCCGCCATGCGCTGGCGGGCCTGGGCCAAGGCCTCCATGAGCTCCCGCTGGGCAGCAGCCGAATGAGCAGCAGGAGCAGCAGCATCAGCGCCAGTGGCGTCGCCAGCCTCCGTGGCGGCCGCCTCCGCTCCCCCTCTGGGCGCGCTTGCGCTGGCCGCGCCAAGGGAACCAGCTGGGGGGGTGGCTGCCGCCGCGGCCGCGGGGGCGCCGGCTGCAGGCGGGGCCCCGTCAGGGCCTGTGGTAGCGCCGCCGCTCCCAGCCTCGGCCTCACGCCTCCTCTTCTTGAAGGTGGTTCGGAGAGCCTTGAGCTCCTCGAGTTGCTCCCGCTGGGTCTTGAGCGCCTCCGCCCCTGGTCCGAAATGGTTGCGCACCGCCTCCTGCACTGAGGCCGCCAGCTTTGCCTTGAACGTGTCGAACTGCTGGAGCTGCTCGGACGACACCTCGAGACCCTCCAACTCGAAGAGTGGGCCATCCTCGACGTAGAAGTCATCGGAGTCCGCCTCCAGCAGCGCGGACAAGTTGATGGCGCTGATGGGACCCTTCTCCTAGGCGGCCTTCGGGGGGCTAATTTTGTAGGCTCCTGCGCGGGAGCCTGCAGCGCCTTCTTCTCGTTGGCGAGCTTGGCCTCAGCCAGGACAAGCTCGTCCGCTGCAGCGTCGGACTTGGCCTGGCACTCCGCGAGCCACTGCCTTGCATCCGCGAGCTGCTTGATGGCCTTGTCAAGGGAGCGCCTGGCCGCGCGCTCGGCGGCCGCTGCCCTCTGGACGCCCTCCTCTACCAGCGCAGGGCGCTCGGTGGGAGAGGGCGGGGCGAAGGCCTTCTCGAGCAGCTGGAGCGCCTCCCGCTGGGCTTCGGAAGTGGCCTGGCCCTCGAGCGACTCGACCATCTCGGATAGCGCCAGCGGCTGCGCGGCGGCGCCACGGCGCTGACGAGAGCGCTCGTGCCAGTCGCCATCGCCACCATGCCAATCGCCCTCGCCACGCGCTCTCCAATCGGCGTCGCCACGGCGATCGTGAGACCACACTCCGCGCGGCGGCGGCGGCGGCGAGGGAGCGGGACGTAGAGCATGGCCGCAGCTGAAGCAGATTTGGCGCTTCTTGTAGGACCACTGGTAGCCGCACTTCTTGCACTTCGTGTAGTCCTGCGAAGGAGACCTTGGGCGTAGGCGACTTGGTACCGCCACGATTCCGCCCCTTGGGCGGCGGCATTGCTGAATGTTTGCCGTCTTGGAAGGCAGGTCGAGCACGTTGGTGCCGACCTAGGGTCGCGAACCCCTGGCCAGAGTAATCTCAAGAAGTTGCCACAATGACGACCTGTTTGTCTAATGTTTGAGCGAGGTTGGAAGTCAAGGAGCAGGCCCCTTGAGTCAAAACGGCTACGGGAAGAAGGAGGAGGAGGAGGAGGAGGAGGAGGAGGAGGAGGAGGAGGAGCGCCCCGCCTAGGTCCACCAGCGCCCTGCTGGTGCCAGCTGGCACGGCGCAGGAGGCGGCTCCCGCACGGGAGGCGTCGGAGGGCGCGGCGCCGAAGGCCGCCGTGCACTCCGGCTGCAGTGTTCGTTGCACCGTCTGCGCTCATGAGCGCTCAAATCTGGACCTCGAGCCTCTATGCCAGAGGAGGAACAGGTACCTATACCGCGTCGTTTCCCTCGGTATCACCGCCACAGCTGGATTCGCCTTGAAATTCTGGTTAGAAGGCACCCAGGGAGAGGTCTGGGGAGCAGCGGTATCGGTAACTTTTGGTTTCCCCACTATGTCCCCGCGCCGTTTTTTTCCCACGCGTGACCTTGCATCTTGGGGATCCGCGGGCACCAGGGCAAACGCCGCCTCGGACGCGGTGGGCTTGCCGTGTGGTCTGCCATGGCGCCAGTTGCGTCTCTTTGGGCGCGGGGCACAGGGCTTGCCGTGAGTTTGCCGTGGTGTCCGCGTCGTCCCATTGGGCGCGTAGAGAGCAAACGGCGCGGCGACATTTGCTATCCAGACCGATCTGTTGATCTCGGGGCCAAAACTCCGCCTGTGCAAGTGGTGCGAGACGTCGGAAGGGGGGTCCCCGCCCGAACGGGATCTTTCCTGGGCTCCGACAGCTCGCATAGATACCCTCAGCGCCTTCATCGCCTCGCCCTTCGCCCGTCCTCCCCACGTCAGGATCGAGTGTGTGTGTGCTCCCTGTCGCCCTCCTTTGTCGGTCTACTCTTTGTTACTCGTTTTCCCCGCCTTCCAGTTCCGGTTGGCTCATGTCACCTTCCACCCTCACCGTACTTTCGTCCGTACATGGCCCCTCCCAGCCATCCATGCCCGGATAGTTTTGGCTGCTGCCGGCTGCGATACCCTCAGTGAACTTTGAGAGCTCGGCCCGGCGTGGACGTGCGCGTTCCGCTGCTTGCGCTCGACTTTCTGCGCCCCGTCGCCGCGCGCGGGGCCGCGACGCCAAAAAAAAGTGTGCGTGTGTGTGTGTGTGTGTGTGCTAGGAAGGGGCCCGCTCCCGACCCGCAGACCAAAAAAGTGTGTGTGTGCGTGTGTGTATACCTGTGCGTGCGCGTGTGTGTCTGCGCACCTTGTTCTTTCATGATTTCCCGGTTGGCTCAGGCCGCCGAGGCTCGGCTCCAGACGGCTTTCGTCATGTTCTGGAGCTGGGCGTGAAAAAGCTGCGCAGTCACGCCCTCGTCGCATTTTGGCTTCATCGTGACCTTCTTCTCCCCAGCCCTCTCAGCCCCTCTGCCGCCCCCCCCCTCGTGGCTCCCCTGTGCCCTCTTTCGCCATCCGTCCCCTTCCCCCCTCGCCTACCTTCGCCCTCCTCTCTCCTTCCTCCTCTAACCCCTCCTTCTTTCTTTCTGGATGCTGCTATGTTGATGATACTCCATTTCGTCCTTCCCCCATGCGCCTTCTTCCTCCGCCTCCCTTTTTCTCACTGTCGTCGTCGGTGTCGTTGGCTTTCCTCCTCCCTGTCGTCGTCGGTGGCGTCGCACGCATCTAGTGTGACAACTGGGCCGTGTCTGCGGATCGCACGATCTGATGGCATCTTTTCTGGCGTGCAGTTGCTTGAGCATCCCCTTCGATCAAACACCGCCGTGGGCACGACTGCGGCTACGCGAATTTTGACATAGGAAATGATCGGTGGCATACGCCTGGCCAGGAGCGCCTCGCCGAAAACACGCGTCCCTAACATTTTGGCTCCCTGCTGCATGTTCTGGTAGAATAGACAACATGTCCGCATCGAACTGGGAGGCATATGTGGAGAGGAGAGGTAAACTGGGAAGGAGGGGGAATGGGAGGGAGGACAGGGCAAGCTAGGTGCGCTCGCGCCATGTCTGAAATGTTATACCTCCCTCCAATCTCTTCCCATGACATGCTTCCTTTACTCGCCGAGGCGTGTCATAGCGGACCTGGAAGTTTCAAACAGACCCTTATCGTATTATGCGCAATCGGAACATGGGAGTTGCTTGCATAGGAAGAGGTGGAGAAGGAGGAGGAGGAGCAAGAGGAGGAGGGGTGGCGGATGAGCAAGAGGATGAACAGGAGGGACATGAGGAGGATAAGGGTGGAGGAGGAGAAGCAGGAGGAGGAGGAGGAGGAGGAGGAGGAGGAGTAGGAGGAGCAGAACGAGGAGGAAAAAGATGAGGAGTACGAGGACGAACAGCAGCAGCGGGAATTGGAGTGGAAGGATCGGGAGGAGCAGGAGGACCGGAGGACCAGAGAAGGCGGAGTAGGGGAAAGGAGGGGGGCGGCAACGCTGAGGAATGACTCGGATACAGCAAAGTGGCCCGCGCTCGGGTCAGAGTGCGACTCTGAACGACGGGAGCAACGCGCAAATCCTAACGTGAGGCCAACGCTGCAACAGGCTGACAACAGTACGCGGAGTTGGTGGGCCCTTCCCCGGCCATCTGGGGGGAGGGATGGGATTGGCCATCGTAATGTGTGACTGTAGAGTGAGGTGCGAGAGGAGGAACAGCGGACAGGGGGGGAGAGGGGGGGGGGACCGGGAGGTGGAGGAGAGCACGCGACGGGAGGGGAGAAGTGGGGGGGAGGTGGAGGCGTAGGGGTCTGGAGGGAGGAGTACGCTCTGGGGGAGGGAGGAGCAGACTCTGGACCTCCCCAGGGGGGTCTGCACCGCAGCCCACCGCCCCCCGCCCCTACCCCCACCCCCCTTCCTTCGCCGTGCCTCGCCCTCCCGGCGAGGCCCTGCACGTGGACGACCCCAGCAGGGCTCTGCCGAGCTCCGGCGCCCTGGAGCGCCGCTTGCCTCGCTCGGCCTGGGCTCCGCCGGGGGGGGCCTGCCCCCTCCCGCCCCGCATCCTCCCCTGCCCCCTCCCCCACTCTCACCCAGAAGGGTGACGGCAGGTTCTCGTGGGCCCGGGGGCACCCCGTTTGCGGTCGCCAGGGCTCGTCGGCGTCCATGGTTGCACGTCGTCGATGGGATTGGCGCGCCTCGATTAGGGGAGCCGGCGCTTTACTCCCATATGGAGGGCTCGTCTTCCCATATCGCAGGCAAAGTGTTCGAGTGAGCGGCCGCATTTCCCAGCCGGTTTGTGACTGGGGTGGGACCATTCCACTCATTCTCTTCATCCTCCTTGTCCTCATCGTTTTTTTCCGTCCTTGCTGTAGTCTCCGTCCTTCGCCACCATGCGTCAGGCACCACATCTTGATGAAAAGGCAGGACTGCGAGGCAAGTCAGGAACGCCTCACGAGCAAACTTACAAGATGCGAAGTCATGAAATGATCTGTAGCCAGGTAGATATTGTGAAGTATACCGTGGGCGCATCCCCCGAGCTCGCAGACGCCAGTGGCATCGCACATATGAGGCCAGAGAGAAGGAGCGAGGGAGCCAGGAGGAGGAGGAGCAATTACACGTGCCATGCCTTTGGACGCAGAAGGATACCCACAGGCTTGGTAAGAGGGTTAATGGGCATATAAAACGTACACATTTACATACACATACATATGTGTGTAATATGTGTGTATGTCTGTTTACTGTGTACTTCTACACTTATGCGGAGAGGGCTGAGTTATGTATATGTGTATATATGTACGGGCTTCGCCCTCTTCCGTCAGCCCCCCTCTCTATAATAATGGGAGGTGTCAGATCTACGTTGAGACGTGTCGGCTCTGTGCTGACAACTTCTTGGAGCATCATGGCAGGGTGCTTGGCATTCAGCAAGCTCCTTGAGGTGTTGAAGTTGTCGGGGTCCTCTCATCCTCACGCGAGGTATTGTGCCCGCGCCGCAGGTGAATGTCATGTTCCAGCGGCTCCGCTGCATTGGCGCCGCTGGCTCGGCAGGAGTGTCGTGGCGGGCCGTTTCGCACAGATGGGTGTGTTGGCAGCCTGTCGGGTCCTGTTTTCTCTGGGACTTCCCCTCCGTGGCTGTGTCCCCGTGTGTGCCCCCGTGCTGCCGCTGCTTCGTCGCTGTTGCTGCCGCGTGCTCCCCCTCCCCATGCTGCTGCTCCGCTGTGCTGGTGCCGCCGCTGCTGGTGGTGGTGCCGGTTGGGTTGGGTCCCTCGGCCTGGCTTCTGGTGTGTCGGCAGGCCTCGTCTCGACCAGGGGAGTGCGGTAGCCGTGCGTCTCCGCGCGCCTCCCGCCTCGACGGCGGCGACTACGGCCTCTTGCCCCAGGACTTCCCTGGGACGGGCCGGTCCTCCCGCGCCGTGCTCCCCTGCTTCCTCCAGCTCCTCTGATTGATGATCGAGGTCGTTGGGCCTCCCTTTCTTCTGCGCGACTTCCCCTTCGCTTTGCACTTAGCCCGTTTAGTCCTGATCGAACGTGGGCCTTGTCTTTTTCCTGCGGTTCATGCGCCAGAGGTTCCCTAATGCGGTCGTCCGAGCAACTTCGCTGCCGCCCCGCTGTTGCTTGCTGCCGCCCCGCCTCTCTCTTGCATGCTGCGTGGCCTTCCTGTCGCCTGTTCCCTATGGGCCAGGAGGCGCTGATTGTGACATGCGTCCGCAGCAGGGGAACAAACAAGTCCTCCCTTCTCTCTCCTGGGTCACCTATCTCCTTTCTCGTCGTCGTCGTCGTCGTCCACTCTTTTTGTTCCGCATCCTTTTCGTCCTTCTCCGCGCCTCCTCACTGCAGTTCTTCCAGCCCTCGGCCTTCTCTTCCATCCTTCTCCTTGCCGTTCTCATCCTCACTGCCGTCCTGCTATTTAACCCTCTCCTCCGTTCTCATCTTCACCCTTCTGCCGCTTTAGCTGCGATTGTTTTTGTTATTGCTAGTGCTTCCCCCTTCTTTGTTTGAGCCGCGTTTGTGGGGACGTGGAGCAGGCAACGTACCCGTGCTCATTTTCTTGCACTTTTCGATCACGGTTGAAGAGGGTTGTGCAGGCCACGAAAGTGTTATTGCGCATGCTTCCTGAATGGTTATGCGTCGCGACGCCCGCCTGAAATTCCCCCCGCGGGCGCGGACAAGGCGTGGTGCCCTGGCCTATCCATGCCACCCCAGCACGCACTGTGGCGCCCACTTGAAGGTCACGCTTGTGAATGACCACAAGGCGGCGGCACCTTCTGCGCACTTTTGCCGCACTGCGGCGCCCACACACAGTGGATGCAGAACAGGCAGGGCATGCTTGCGGACTCTTGCCGCCCTGCACCGCGGCGCACGCCTGAACGACGCCCCCCGCGCTTGCAGACAAAGCAGGGCGCCCTTGCACGTCTGTGCCCTCTGGGCCCGTCCTCCGTCTGACGCGTGGGGTAGGTGCCGAAGGGTGCCAGCGCGGGCCCCTCCCCGCGCAATCTTGCGAGCCAGGCACCCACGTGACCTCTGCGTGTTGGTTGTGACGGCATGGCCCAAGGACTGCGCGACCTCTCAGGGTCCCCTGTTGCACCCTTGCGCTGGACGCCCACGGGGATGATGGAGTCTGCGACGGTGTCCTCGCGTCTTCTGGTTTTCGGCCGCGCGGCGTCCACATTTTCTCCCAGTCAGACCTGCGCGGGTGGCGAATCTGCATCCAGCCGATGGTGTTTTGTGTTTTTCGGCCGCGCGCCGCAGAAGCTGTTTCAGTCGGACCCACGGGGGCGTTGAACCCGCTCCTGACACCCTGACTGCGAATTTTTTCCAGCAAAGAACGGCGTGCCTCGGGCGGTTGGTGCTCTTGGCGCTCTTGGCCTAAAGAGGGCTCCGAGGACGGCGGCCGCCCCTTCTGCCCCCGGCTGCCTGTCGCGCCCCACCCGTCTGCCGAGAGCGGGCCTCGGGTTCGGGTGCCCTGCTCGCGCGCCCAGCTCGCAGGCCGCCTCCCCCCTCCACAGTTCTGGCACCATCTCCCGAGCATTCTCTTAGGGTGGAGGGCGAAGGGTGAAATCTGAAATGCCGTTTAGATGGATTCTTGAGGCTTGAATCTGCAAAAGGTGAATCACAAGACGGATTGATCTTCGAGGTGGAAAAGGCCATATGGATTTCACCCTGAGCCCTCCACCTGAAGAAAAGGCTCAGATCTCTCGGAGACGGACTTGCCGCAACGCCTCATGGCCTCGGTATCACGCCGTTTCTTCCGCCGTCCAATATTTCAGCCCGTTCGGTCCGGAGCGTTTCTGCAGCCGCTCAGTCCTGGCAGACGCGTAGTCTTTGCCTGGGGCGCGACACTGCTTGCGCTCAGCCATCTCCGTCGGTGGCGGGAATCCAGAGAGCGTTTCTGTCCAGCTGCTGTTCCTCCTAATGCCCCGTGTTGCTACTCCTTTTCTTTTCCCCTTCTCCCCCTCCTCCCTCGTTCTGCTCCTTCTGCTCCTCTCCGTCATCCAATCCACCTCCCTTCCTCTTCCTCATCTTCAAAGCTTCTGGGTTGAACGGTTGAGACTCGGGACCCTCCACCTGTCGGGGCCGTCCATACCCCGTGGCGTCCGACGGGCACGGCAGGTCGCACATAGCCCAGAGTGCCTCGTTTTGCTATTCTCCACAGTCGGTGTTCTGTCCGATTCGTGTCTGTTGCCGGTCCGCTGCTGCCGCCGTCTTCAACGCCGTCACAGCGGCACAGTTGTTGCCGCCCTCCCCGTTCAGGCTGGCGCACTCGCACCCCCCTTCATTATTGCAGTAAGGCCTCCTCCGCTTTCGCATCCACAGGACATGCGCAGCACGCTCACCACGACCGTGGCCAGTCTCGTCAATGCCAACTCGACTCCTGCAGAGGCGCTGGGTTGGGGTAGGCGGGCGACAGGGCAAGGGAGACAGGAGAAGATGGGAGGGTGAACTGGAGCGGCTGAGGTGGGAGAGCAAGAGAGCTGGCAGGGGACTGGGGCATTGCAGTGGTGGGCACCCTTTTATCACGAGGCCGTCAACTCGACGCTGATTTCCACCAGCGCGAGCAACACTACCAACGCGAGGACGCCATTCAATTTTTTGTTCGCGATTGCTGCGCGCTTCAGGTCAGCTTGGAGGAAGAAAGATGGAGAGGGAGATAGGGGAGGACTATGAGAATGGGGCGGGGTTGCCGCCCTGGATCCTGACCTTTGGACGTCCACCGAGGTCCTGGGAGTCCCCGAGGCCAAACAAATACATCAAACGCTAATCAACGTAATGAAGACTCTCAACATGTCCCCTCCTCGATCCTCGTGGCTGGGCGCAACTCAGGAGGAATGGGAGGAGGAGGAGGAATGGGAGGAGGAGGAGGAGGAGGAGGAGGAGGAGGAGGAGGAGGAGGAGGAGGGGTGGGTGTGGGGCTTCGCGAGGGAGCAACTCAAGCCTCGGCACTCCCACCTGGGGGGGTGACCAGCACGCGGGGGCAGACCGCTCTCTCTGTCTGGCGTCGCGCCAGGGGCAGCGGTGAGTCGGGGAGGGGGCGGGTGAGAGAAGGTGCACCTTTTGTGCACCCTGGTAGCCCCGAGAGGGCCCCCTGGGGGGCCCACCAGGGGCATGGAAGATGCACGTTTCTTTGCCCCCCCACCATGCACGCCTCGCTCCCCCGTTACAGTCAAAAAAACTCTTGGCTAGCGTGTCTTGCACTCGGAAACTCTTGTCGGGTGTCGCGCCATGGGGAGCGATGCTTTGGGAGGGGGGCGGGTGAAGGAAGGTGCACCTTTGTGTTAAGTCGGGCCTGTCCCTTTACAGGAGGAAAGGTCAACAATAGTAGAAAAATAATCCGACGACGATTTTCCTAGTATTATTGGACAATTTTTGAATATCTTCTTCACTGATTCCAATTCTTCGCCCAAAAATCCGCCTGTAAGGGGACATGCCCGACCTAACATGTGTGCACCCTACAGTGGGGGCCCATGGCTAGAAACACCCTGCTCGACTCCAAGGTGCCCTGGGTTGCTTGGATTTCGATTGTCTTGCGATGGAGAGCGTGACGTTCCCACACCAAAAACCAATGGACGTCCTGGGGTCTCAGGGTTGGGTTTCTTCTGGGAGGTTTCTTGTGGACTGGCCTCCACTGGTAGTAGCCCTGAAAGGGCCCCCCTGGGGCCCCCAAGGGGCACGGAAGGTGCACGTTCCACGTCTCGCCCCCCCCCCCCCCTCTACCGTCGGAAACTTTAGGTTAGCGTGTCGCTCCGCCAGTTCTGGCCCACCACGTTTCGGCGCGACACGCTGTCTACATCCCGGTCCCCAGGCGCCCGTGCCCCGGGCTCATCTCAGCTTCCAGTCTCGCGGAGCGGAGCGACATGCTACCCGCCTGCAGGGCACAGCGTGTCGCCTGGGCCGCCGCCGTGACGCGCTGAGCAAAAGTTGCCGACCGCAATTTGCCCCGAAAGGGCCACACCGGGTTCCAGAAGGGGCACGATTTTTGGACGTGTCTTCGCCCCCATCGCCCTTCCATGAAGCAACGTCGAACTCTGGATGTCTTTCTGTTCGGCAGAGCCGGAGCCGCCTGGAGCCACAGGGGGGGATTCTCAGCACGGGTATAGAGGCTTTTCCACGCCCTCGTTTTTTGTGTGTCTATCGCTGAAGGACAAAACTTCTTTGCCACAAGCCTCATATTGAACAAGCGTTCCCAGAGAAGCGGGGCCAGAAATATCTTGAACCCAGCACCCCGAATTTAATACTTGCCAACTTTATGTGGAGGGGAGGAATCTATTCTTTCCAGCTCGTTCGTTGTTTAGTCACATTTTTATAGAACAATCATTGTTGATCACCCCTCCGGTGCCCATGGTGTTTTTCAAGTGAAGTGCCCCTCCTGGGCTCGTTCCCCGTTTTGGACAAGGGACGTCTTGAGCCTCAGACCTGGTTGCTGGCCACCGAACTGCAGCAACAGCTGCTCCCGTCCGACACTTCTTCACAATCTAGTACAATCGCGCTCTCGCGCCGGACTTCCCACCAACTTCTCCAGTGGCCTGCGGTAAGTCCCGCCACTGTGCCAGCCCAGCATCATGGGTGGCGACTGTTCGAGGGGGCATTTCTTCCTCCTGGGCCTCCTCCGCACCATCCGGTGGCACAACGTTGCTCATCGCCTTCATGGTGGTCATTCCCTCCTGGACGTCGACCTGGTCAAGTTGCACGTCCTCCTCTGCAGTGCTTGAGGCTGGTGTTCACGACGTGCCGTTGACGGCAACACCACATCGCTCACACTCCGGATCTTCGCCTCCGGCCCCTGTCCGCGGCGTACCTTTTCTTGTGCAAGCTCTTCGGCGCCGCCTGCACCCCGGGCCCCGCCCACTCCGGCCGCCTGAGGCCCCGCCCGCTTGTGCCCTGTCTCCCTAATTAAAGCTGTGCGTAGCCCGCCTAGTTTTTAGCGGAAGAGGTTCGCTCTCGCCCCGCCGACCAACAAAAAACTGTTCGAGGGGGCACGGGAGGACGTCACGTGTGACGCCTCGTGTCTCCAGGCTTGGGAGAGCCGTGATGAATATGATGAGTACGATGTGGATTATGAGGATGCTGGGGATGGTGGTGACGACGAGGAGGATTATTTGGATGATGGTGATGACGACGACGATGTCGATGTCGATGACGATGACGATGGTTACGATGGTTGTGATGATGTTGATGATGCTGATGGTGATGATGGTGATGCTGGCGATGACGATGACGATGCTGGCTGATGCTGACGCTGGTGCTGATGCTGATGCTGATGCGGCTGATGATGATGATTGGTGTTGAGGATGCAGATGCTGATGATGATGACGATGACGATGACGATGATGGTGCTGCTGCTGCTGGTGATGGTGATGATGGTGATGAAAGTGATGGTGGTGGTGCTGCTGTTGTTGCTGATGGTGGTGATGATGTTGATGATGATGCTGGTGATGATGATGGTCATGATGATCTAGATGTTGATTATGAAGGTCGTGATGATGATTCTGATTATGATGATGATGGTGGTGGTGATAATGCTGATGGTGATGGTGATGATGATGCTGATGATGATGATGACACTCGTTTGGGTCGTCTGTGGGCTATTTTGGTCCCCCGTGAGGCAGCGTTGGGGGTCCCTTGGGCCTCGTACGCCGTCCTGGGACTCTCTTAGGTTATCTTCGGGCCCTCTTGGCCGAAGGGGTGTTTGGGGGCCGTCGTGGGGCCGTTTCGGCGCCGTCTTGGGCAATCGAAGCGCCTGGGTCCCACGGGAGGCTCTCTTGGGCCGTCTTGGGGCAATCGTGGATACCTCTTGGGCCATGGGTCGTCTTGAGCTGACAGCAGCCCGAAAAGGCGAGAAGGAGACATTCATACAAACACCGAAAGCTAATCAACGATTCTGGCTTCTTCTGGCACTGTTGGAGGTCTTTTTGTGGCGATGTCGGGTCCTCTTGGGGGCATCTTGGGCCGTCTTGAACCAATACTTGGCCGCTTTGGGGCCACATTGGGCCGTCTTCGAGGCATCTTGGGCCATCTTGGTGTCCTTGGTTGCCTGCACGGGCCGTCTTGTGAATCGTGTGAGCTCGGGGCGCATATCCGTTGTTGTTTTGTGATGTGCCGTGGCTTTGGAGGCCCTGGAGCGCTTGGGAGCAGCGTCTGGGAATGTTGGAAATTCACGATCCTCGAGCAGGTGCGCGTGGGATGAGGGGTCCAGGAGCTAGCAGCCATGTGGGAAGTGCACAACTTTTTTAGCTGGCGCGCACGGAGTGAGGGTCCAGGCGTTCGCTGCTATGCGGGAAGTGCACTATGCCCGAGCGGGCACGCGTGGAAGGGGGGGGGGGGTCAGGCATCAGCTACCATGTGGGAAGTGTACCTTCCTGGAGCGGGCACGCGTATTTGGGGACTGGGCAGCAGCGGTCATGCTGGAATTGCACCATCCTCGAGCGGGCACGAAGGAACTGGCCTCGGAAAGGAGGGGCGGTGCTCGCAAGAGTCTGCTGATAGCTTGAGGGGCGGCCCCTCATCAGAATTCATCAAACCATATCAGACAAACGTTGGCATTCCTCCAACCCTCAGAATGCCAGGGGGCACGGTGGCAGATCCAGGACTCGCGCTTTCCCGTGGGACTTCCTCGCGACTCGTTCAGGCGCCGCGCCCTCGATGCTCAGGAATCACTCTCTCGTTTTGTTCCTCACGATCTGCTTGGGAATCGCGCTGTCGCGAGAGACTTCCTCGCGGTTGATGGAACGTTATCGCTTCAGCGACCCGCCAGCTCGACCCGGCCGCCTGGGCCCGCCCGCCCGGCCCGCCCGTTCGGTTTTGCCACTTGCTCTCTGCTTCTAGCCCCCTCTCCTGCTAATCTCTCTCGTGCCTTTCTTCCCTCCTCTCTTGCTCCCCTGTGTTAGGGGCTGCGCCAACTGCACGTGGCAGGTAAGGAAGATAGACTCCCAGGGGAAGCACGATCGGAGACGAAGAGAGCGGATATCGAGGTTTTGGGATATACGTGTTGAATGTCTCGCGAGCAGATAAGAGCGAGCAGTCTTAAACGGTTTTTGAGCTCTCACTTCCAAAGAACAATTATTGCTGATGCCCCTGGAGCACCTTATGCTGTTCTACTTAAGTGCTCAGATAGGGTTGTTGGCCTCCGAACTACAACATCAACGGCTCCCGCCGGACACTTTATCACAATATATTTGAAAATCGCGCTCTCGCGCGGGACTGTTTCATATTTTTGCAGATGCCGCGCTTTCGCGTGGTACTTTCTATCAATTTGTTGTGGCGCCGTGCCCGCTGCACTCAGGAATCACGATGTTGCTTTGGATTTCCTGAGGAATCACTCGGGAATCGGGCTATCGCTCCAAGTTTCCTTGCGATTCATGATGGATTGACGCTTCAGCGACCCGCCCGCTCGACCCCGCCGTCTCGGCCCACCCGCCCGACCCCGCCCGACCCGCCCGTCTGGTTCTGCCACTTGTAGTCCTGATCCCAAGCCCCCTACTGCTAATCTCTCCCTTGTCTCTTCCCTCCTCCCTTACTTCGCCCTCCCCCTTGTCTCTTCCCTCCTCCCTTACTTCCCCTGTTTCAGGGATTGCGCCAA